AAAAATGGAATCCCTAAAAACAGAAACAGTAATCGCTTTAAATAATTTTCTTAGAATTTGGAAACAGGACCCTGCATCTCAAAAACATTTAGACATTTCACCCCAGAATATTTATCTTTGGGATGAGGAAGAACTAGAAAATGCAGTAGACTTGAACCCACCCTAATAGAAATTAATTACGATGAATTTCTACAAATAGGAACAGAAGTACTTCTAACTGCAGAAGAAGCCACCCCTGCAAAAGTTACTACAGAGTTCGAAAACCATTCTAGTACCAATAACCTTACTTTATTAGTAAATGATCTGAAACAGACACCTGCCCCAACTCCGAACTATAACTAATCATTTTTCCGGAGAAACATGGAAAGACCAAGTAAACCGAATCTTGACGTTCTTATCAAGCCCAGGCCAGACACGAGTTAGCCTCAATAAAAAGATTAAAGCCTACTACTACTTAGGATTATTAATTTTTAAGTCCAACGATCCTTTAAAAATTAAGACCTTTATCCAGAAAGCTCAATCTACAAGGAAAGCCAAGGATACTTGGAAAGGTGCTCTTAGAATTTATGAACTCTTTGAGTTACGGCCCAAAGAAATTATTTTGCAACTTCGATATACTACCGCTACTCATATTATCAAGTTGCCAGACCAAGATTATACTCAATTGGTTAGTCTAGTTAGGATATAGAATTTATGGAGTAAATTCTTAAAGGGGACAGAAATGTTATAGAATGAATTAATTATTAGTTTATTATTTTATTATTTATTATTTATTAATTATTATCTTAGAATATTATTATTATTATCCGTATTATAATTAACATATCACTTAGTTGCTCAGTCGCTTAGTCGCTTAGTCGCTTAGTCGCCTAGTCGCTTAGTCACTTAACTATATAGTCGCTTAGTCGCTTAGTTGCTTAGTCGCTCAGTCACTTAGTCGCTTAGTTGCTTAGTCGCTCAGTCGCTTAGTCGCTTAGTTTACAGATATATAAACCCACTAATTTCTCCAAGTTGGAAAAAGCAACAGACATCCCTCTCCACTTATTCTTGTAAACAATATTTAGGATTCTTTAGGGATAGATAGCTAAGGATAGCCTTGTATTCTTTATATTTAATAAACGACTCTTTGACTATAAACTGTTTAGATATTCCCCCTCTAAGTTAATTCCTACAGGCAGGTTTATCTCTCTCTCATGACAAATAAGTTATTATTGTTATTGTATTTCCCCACGAACTGCTTAGAGAAGGGTATAGTTTTTTAAAGAGAAAAGAAGCTATTCTTACCTCTTGGACAATGCATATACCTACGAAAAGATTCCCTGTGCCGTGTCATCGTTATAAAGTAAATTAAGAAGGCTTTACTCTGTAACAGTATATAAAAGTGCTATAAAATATAGCAGAATGACAATTAAAGCGGTTCTTAACAATATGTCATATGAAGGTGTAAAAAGTGATACCAAAACTCCCTTTTTCATCCTACTAGAATATATAAGACTATTAATTTATATAAAGCCTTATATAAGTCTTATTTATAGAATTTTATACATCTTTTTGACTGTTTAATACTTAGAATTTTGTGCTCTATTAGCCTATTAACTTTGTTTTTTAATTAATATGTAAAAAAAAAATCCCTAACCCTAACCCTAACCCTAGAATATATAAAACTATTAATTTATATAAAGCCTTATATAAGTCTTATATATAGAATTTTATACATCTTTTTGGCTGTTTAAATACTCAAAATTTTGTCTCTATCAGTCTATTAACTTTGTTTTTTACTTAATATGTAAAAAAAAATTCATAATCCTAACCCTACCCCTAGAATAAATAAGACTATTTTTTTTTTTTTTCTTTTTTGACGATTATGACACAACTTTATTTTATACTATAGAATTTATATTTATAATAAACATGGAATTTATTTATAGCTATGCTATTTTAAACTAAAGTGTGGCTCACCCGGTTGCCAATTGGTACCTATGTGGACCTGCCAAAGTAGAATTAACCTCGCTGCTTCTTCTTTACCTATCTCAGATAAAGAATCTGCAGTTTATCAGCCTGGATCTACAGCCTGTCATAATCTATTTTAATTTTTATTCCAACTGGACTATCTTCTGGTCCAAATCCATTTATTCACTTCGTCTGTTACTGAATCAATTCTTTTTTTAAAGACCTCCCACTGGTTTTTTCTCTTTTTATTCCCATTGGGCCTTCTTTCTGTCACGTTTGAAGGATCTTTAGATCTAACTGCATTTTCCTTTCTTGAACTTCTATCTTTCTAGGGTCTTTTTTCCTTCTTTTTTTTGGAGTTAATTTGCAGCTCTTTTTCCCATTTTATAACTTCTTCGCAGTGTTGAAGCCAGATTTCTTCCTGGAAAAAGCTATGCTATTTGTCCTACATTCGAGTATTATTAGTTCTATTTCTTTTCTGGTGATCTCTGTTAACTTAAAAGAGGCTGTCAGATCTTTTTCAATTAGTCCTTTTGTTAGATAATTTCTCTTTTTGTGTCTTTTCTCGATACTTTCACCCGCAAATGCTGAGTATATATTGTCTTGCGAAATTTTCTTTTGAACAGAGGCGTCTAGGTTCTACCAGATTTCTTTCGCAATTGAATACTCCTTTTCAGACCAGTGGGATTCGTCAACTTCACATGATGTTAAATATTCAAAATTCTCTTCTTTTTTCTTGCATTTCCGGCAGATTTCTGTTGTGTGCAGATCTCCACGATTTCTCTTTCGTAACTGCAGTGTTGGTAGAAAACCACTCAAGCTTTTGAGTCTAAAACTCCATTTCTTGTTTAATTTTAACAATTTTGATTTTCCATTTTTTTCTCTACTTCACAGGTTTCTGAAGATTTTCCAGTCCTGCTTTTCAATTCTTCTTTGGTATATATTGTCTCTCTGGCTTGGAGTAAATAACCAGTCGACTTTGTAGAAGATTTGCGTAAACATTTTAATAAAGCTACGGATTGGAGCATTAATTAGGTGTCTGTTCCAGGTCAGCCTAAGCGTTATTCTCTGTGTTTCATTTATAGAAATAAAAGTTAATTTGCTTTCTTGAGTGCCTTTTTTTGCTGCTTTATTTGCTAGGTCATTTAACCAGTTGCCAGCATGTGCCTTTACTTTATAAAGTTGAATATTTATTCTTTTGGTATCTAGGATCTTGACAATTGTACCGAGAATACAAGGATTTTTCATCTTGCACCAGTTTCT